TTCCACCACTTGCCTTGCCTTCTAGCCTCCTCCAGTTCCTACAAAACTCCTTAACAGGCCTTTGAAACTGTTAACCTTCTTCATGAAATGACTTTGCCCAAATGCTCAGTAAGAATGGCTTCCTCTCTATTTTCAGATCTCCATTTAAAGGTCATCTCCTCTAAGACACTTAACTGGTTTAAGAAATCTCCTTTCCCAACATAATTAACACTACACTCAATTCATTTACTTTGTCTCATAATTATATTGTCTCCCATCACATTTTTAAGTTTTAGAAGGACACAGACCACATGCTCTGTTATGAAAATGAATACCTAATATCTATCCCAGGATCAATACCTATTAAAGGCTCAGTAAATAACTGTTGAATACTTGAGAAAGGAAATGCCATACCAAGTTCCATCTAGCATCTCATTGCTCGAGAAAACAATCTTTATGTATTAGTCACAAACCTTTACCACAAGTTATTTTAACTTTTTACATATATTTTCTAACATATACGGGTTTGGGTTTGTTTGTTTTTTTTAATTCTTGCTAGGGCATACTTCTTTCCTGTCAGAAACTATATTAAAAGCATTTGGCTTACATTTTCTTCTTGTGCTTTTATTTTTTTATATTTATTTATGTATTTATTTTGAGATAGTCTCACTATGTCACCCTCAGTAGAGTGCCGTGGAGTAATAGCTAACAGCAACCTCAAACTCTTAGGCTTAAGCGCTTCTCTTGCCTCAGCCTCCCAAGCAGCTGGGACTACAGGCACCCGTCACAACACCCGGGTATTTTTTCTTTTTGGCTGCAGATGTCATTGTTGTTTAGCTAGCCCAAGCCAGGCTTGAACCTGCCAGCCTTGGTGTATGTGGCTGGTGCCCTGCTCATTGAGCTATGGGCACCAAGTCACTTGTATTTTTTTTTTAAGTAGCTCTTTATTTTAATTTAACAACATTAGGTAACTATTTTCCAAATGAGCATGATCTCAAAGCATTCATCATATGCCTAACACTATATTATTTCTGAACTTAAATATTCTGTTTCATTGATCTAGTTATGTGTTCCTGCACCAATGGATTTTCAATACATGTAACATGATCTGTGTAGTAAGTCTCCCCACTTTGTCCCTCATGCAAATAACCTGCAAAATCATGTGGACATGTCTCAAAAAACTCTCACTGGTGGCTCAACACCCGTAGCACAGTGGTTACTGCGCTGGTCACATGCGCAGAGGCTGGTAGGTTCAAACCCAGTCTGGGCCAGCTAAACAACAATGACTAATGTAACCAAAAAATAGCCAGGCATTGGGGCAGGCGCCTATAGTCCCAGCTACTTTGGAGGCGGAGGAAAGAAAATCACTTAAGCCCAAGAGTTTGAGGTTGCTGTGAGCTGTGACACCACAGAACTCTACTAAGGGCAACATAGTGAGACTCTGTCTCAAAAATAAATAAATAAAAATAAAAATAAATACTAGAATCACTAGAATTACATTGAGTGTTTAGATTTGGGGAAAAATGACTTTTGAGATGAGTTTTGTTTGTTTTCTTGAGAAGAACCTTACTCCACTGCCCAGGCTAAAGTTGTCATGGGTCAGCCTAGCTCACAGCAACCTTTTAAACTCCTGGGTTCAACTGATCCTCCTGCCTCAGCCTCCCAAGTAGCTGGGTCTATAGGTGCCTACCACAACACTTGGCTATTTTTTTCTGTGTTTAGTAGAGATGGGGTCTTGCTCTTGCTCAGGCTGGTCTAGAACTCTTGAGCTCAAACGATCTCCCCCCTTGACCTCCCAAAGTACTAGGATTATAGACGCCATCTAGTAGGCCCGGCTTGAGATGAGTTCTTGCTATGTTGCCTAGGCTGGTCTCTGCCGTGGATTCTCCGGCCTCAGCCTTCCAAGTGGCTGCAAGCATGAGCAACTGTGCCTGGCTAATACCCTTACATAGTGTATTCATCTATACTATAATAAAAACTTAGCCCCAGTCTTTCTTTCCATTACTAATATTATTTATTCCATTTTCTTATCTAATTCCCCTCATATTTCCAGAACAATTAAATACTAATGAGCACAACTATCTTTGACCCTTTCTAACTTTAATGGGAATGTCTAGTATGTCATTAGTAAGCACAAAACTGGCTAGTAGTTTGAAATACATATTTATAATATGCATTTATTGTACATTATTTATTCATATTATGTTCTAAAAGTATCATTCAATTCTTATTTTATTAAGAGTTTATGCCAGGCATGGTGGCTGACACTTATAATCCCAGCACTTTGGGTGGCTGAGGCAGGAGGATCACTTGAGCCAGGAGTTTGAGGCCAGCCTGGGAAACACAGCAAGACTTAGCTCTAAATAAAGTTTTTGGGTTTGACTGTAAAAATGTGTAACATTTTATCCAATGTCCTTGAGATAGCCATCAAATACTGTGAGGTTCTCTTTTCCTTTTGCCTATTACAAATCATGAATGTGTATGATATACTGTGTCATCCTGGAATTCTTGGAATAATTCCTTTTGGTCATACAATATTATCTTTGATTATAATTCTAATTCTATCTGCTTGTCTTTTATTTATAATTTCTATATCTAAACTCATAAGCAAAACTGGTTTTGTGGTTTACTTTGTTTTTTAACCTTCATCAGGTTTTGGTACCCAGAGGTAAACATTTGTGGGGAAAAAAGAACCTGAAAAGCTTTCCTTTCTACACGCTCCAGGCTTAAAATTAACTAACTACCTCTGCCTATATTTCTACTTGCTCAACTAACATTTCTTAAGTACCCATTATGTATTTGTTAGACACTGGCAACATGAAAGATCAAAATTGTTTGTGTTCCCTTAAAAGTCGTATGTTGAAATCCTAACCCCGCATGTGATGGGGTATTAGGAGGTGGGGCCTTTCGGAGGTAATTCAATCAATCATGAAGGTAGAGCCCTCATGACTAGGATTAGCGTCCTTATAAAAGGGACCCCAGAGAGCTGTCTAGGCCCCTCCTCATCATAAGAGGACACAGTAAAAAGCCAGACATCTGTGAATCAGGAGACAGGTCCTCACTGAATCTGCTGATATCTTGATCTTGGACCCCCTAGCCTGCAGAACCATAAGAAACAGTTAAACCACCTAGTCTATCTTATTTTTGTTAAAGCAGCCCAAAAGGACTAAAAGAGAACACATATTCCCTTCATGTGAAATATTAAGTGAACAGTCAAGAAACATATATGTTAGAATACTATAGTATGACTGGTTCCATCCCGTATAAAACTACACAAGGAAAACGTCACAGAAGATTCAAATTAGAGGTTGGGCATATGAGTCAATGGGAGAAACAGAAAAGAGAAGAAGCATTCTAAACATTTTTTCTAAAACAATCATTTCTACTTACTCTTAAATAATTTTAAGTAGTGTGAATGTGTTTCCTGTAAGAGGATGCCATATTCCTAATGGCAACTGTTGGTATAACTGCCAAGGACAGTGGCTACTATATTTGACAGAGCAGATACAGAACAGTATCATCCTCACAGAAAGTTTTATTGAACAGTAGTGATGTATAGAATTCTACCTTTGTTAAGAGAAAGGAAGAAACAGAAACAGTGAAAACTGCATAAATAACAAAAATGACTAGAAGCATACGACAAAAAGCAATAATTATCACTAGATAATAATAATACCCTGAGTTTTAAGTTTTTGCTAATCTATCTTCTAAATTTTTCTAATTTCCTACAATGGATTTCTGTGTAATAAAATCATGTTTTTAAAAAACAATGAAGCTCGGCACCCATAGCTCAGTGATTAGGGCACCAGCCATATGCAACAGGGCTGGCAGGTTCAAACTGGGCCCAGGCCTCCTAAACAACAATGGTAACAACAACAAAAAAATAGCTGGGTGTTGTGGTGGGCGCCTATATTCCCAGCTACTTAAGAGGCTAAGGCAAGAGAATCACTTAAGCCCAAGAGTTTGAGGTTGCTGTGAGCTGTGATGCCATGGCCCCACTACCAAGGGCAATATAGTAAGATCCTGTCTCAAAAAATAAATAAATAAATAAATAAATAATAATGAACTCCTTCAAAAATAAAAATGTCCTCACTGTAAATAAATATTTCAAATTTTTTACAAAAGGAGGGATTATGTAACAACTACCAATTTAGAAGTATTTTTTTTTTACTTCTATTTTGTTGCTTTGGGACTCTACTATTTTTTAAACCTCCTTCCTCACATTTCATTTTAAAAAGAATTACTCAGACTCCCACTAATACAGTTAGGGAATCTCTTCCTCCGTCCACATGTAAAGATTATCTGAAGTCTGGCCATAAATACAAAAGCTGTTCTGTTAATTTTTTAACTCAATATAAAATGAATTCTTCCTTTATGCCTTCTTTAAATGAAGAATTACCTAGAAAAGTAAACAATTATCCATATCACTAGAGTCAGCTAAAGCTTAAATTTCTTCTCTAAAAAATAAATAATAGTATTTCTCCATATCATTCTTTCTAGCTATGCCTCCATGGCAGCAAATGATTTTTATCACATATCTTTTATAGCAAGGCAACAGTTTCCATGGAAACCACAGGGCAAACATCCATTACTCCTGCCAAGGACTTCATAAGCACATAAACTGAGATAACCATTTACTTTCTCCTATTAATATTTTAAAATTGAACAATAGCTACTCAGATTCTGGTTATGTTGTGTTGTCTCTATGAACAAATCCAGAGATGAGTAAGAAACCAAAAAAATTCTGTGTCCTTCTAACAATAAATGAGCCTTTAGAAATTAGGGGGTAAAAGAAGAAAAGACCCAGAAAGTTATCAAGCCAGTATACACACCAAAAGATGAAGTTAACCCATACAAGAGACCAAATCAGAACAGAAATCAGTGACGCACTTAAATACAAAACTTGAAATACTTTTCCACTAGCACAGCAGAGCACATAAATTTATTTAGGCCAAGATGCTCGCTAATCAGAAAAAAGAGACAATCAATAAATCACAACAATCAAAAAAGCAACTGCTTACCTCTCTCAACATATTGTTTTCTTTTTCCTTCTGCTCCAAAAGGCTTTCTAGATGGTGAACATGCATCTCTGCCTCTGCCAGACGTCTCGTTCTCTCATGGTCTTCCTCAGTAGCCTTAGCAGAAAGTCCTTTGCTCTGCAACATCTCCAGAAGCTTCTTGATGGATTCATCCCGAGCATTTAAGGTCTGCTTCTGAGTCTCAATACGAAGCTCCATTTCCTCCAGGGTCTTTCGAAGAAGGAACAGCTCTTTGGCCTGCCGCTCATGCTCAGCATGTAGTCTCTGAAAGTTCTCCTCTGTCAGCTCTGCCACACAAGGTTCGCCGGTCCTGCTGCTGCTATCTTGCTGAAACAGCTGATTCAGGTCCCTCTGGATCCGCAATTCATCCTGGAGAGCCTGGATCGTCATCTGCATGTGCTAGCACCAAGACAAAAAGAAAACCCCAAATCAGCTTTCCTCAAATAGCAAAAACAGAGCAGATTGTGGGGGAGTCAAAAATAGCTACAAGGGCTCTCAGAAATCTGCGTCTAGCAGATGAGAATTTACTTTATTTTCTATTTCATAGTTTTCAGAAAAATGAATTAGATGCTCTACAAGATGTCAGTAATTTAATCAGAAGCAAGAAAAGTACTGCAGCTCTTCATTTTGCATAAGATATGATAAAATAAAGACACTGGTCAAAACTAACAGAAGGCACTACATAGGAACTGAAGTTGAAGGTGGTGAATAGGGGAAGGGCCATGGGAAACCTATGGGGAAAACAAATGTAAACATACTCATTCAAAAAAATCTCACCAAAATATATAAAGAACATCAAAACACAAAATGACTGTTTAAAATTGTAAACATTAAATAATAAATACTAACAGTTAATGAATGGTTTGTATATACCAGACTGTACCAAGTGCTTCTTCTATGTTAGTTAACAGAGTTAATCTTCATTATAACGCACGTACTATTTTTTATTTCATTGTGGTAAAACACTTAACATGAGAGCTACCCTCCTAACAAATTTTAAGTATACATTATTGTTAGCTACAGGTACAATGTTGTACAGCAGATCTCTAGCATTATTCTTCTTAACTGAAAATTCACAAGGTCTGACAATTAAATTCACAAATTTGCCACCATGCACTTACACTGGCAGCACTGTACAAACAACTCAGTGAGGTTTCATAACTTTGGTATATCACTGTCTCATAGCTGTGTTCGTGCCCATGTGTGGCAGTCTTGCTGTGTGACATTCATTATTGTTGTGCATTTTGGTGTGCCTTTGCAAGAATGTTGGAGCTCGAACTGGAGCAACAAACAAATATTAGTAAATTTCTTGCTAAACTTGCCAAGAGTAGAAGTGAAATCAGGGACATGTTAGTCCAAGTTTATGGAAATAAAGCCATAAAGAAAATAGCAGTGTATAGATAAATTAAACGGGCTTTTTTGCCGGGGAGGGGGGCCTCACCTAATGTGTATGATGTAATGGTACATTTCACAACTACTAAGAAATCGGTATAATTGTGATGGATGTATTACTTAGTTCAGTGGAAGCATTTCACATTGTATATCAAAGCAGTACACTGAACCCCATAAATGCATCAATGTACAAAGTTATGATTTAATAAAAAAAATTTTTTTTAAAGTTTTTCTGAGGGGAGAGAAAGTATCACTGATGAAGAGAGGTTACGGTGCCCTGTAACAAACAGAACTGATGAAAACATTGCAAATATTTGTAAAATTGTGCATCCAAATCATTGGCTATGATGCTGACCAAGTAAACATCAATAGAAAAATAGAAAAAGGCTTGGCGCTTGGCATTGTCTATGAGGGAGTTTTTAGCCAGTAAACAAATAACTGGCTAAAATACCCTCCCTACTCACCTAATCTGGCCCCCGATTACTTTTTTCTTTACCCAAAGATAAAAGAAATATTGAAAGGAAGACATTTTGAGACATTCAGGACATCAAGGGTAATACAACAGCTTTGTTGGCCATTCCAAAAAGAGATCCACAATTGCTTTGAAAAGTGGACTAGATGCTGGTGTCAGTGCATAACTTTCCAAGCGGGAGTATTTCATAAAGGTGATTGTGGTAATATTCAGCAATGAGGTTATGCAGCACTTTTTCCAGAATGAGTTAATGAATTTAATCAAATGACCTTGCATGCCCAGAGATTAGTAAGTCTCCGTTCCTTTTCCTCTCCCCAACCCCTGGCAACCACCATTCTACTCCTTTATTCTGTGAGTTTGACTATTTTAGATACCCAAAACACGTTCAATTGTATTGATGAGGCTTAGAGAAATTTAATTAACCTGTCCAAGATCACACAGAAAGTGATAGAGCTGACATTCAAACCAAAGCAATCCTTGCATCCCACTAAAGTTAGTACTACTCCAAGATAATAATATAGCAAAGTTTTTTAAAAACAAAATATGTGAGCTTTTTACACAGGAGAAGATAACAACATGAATGAGAAATTAAATAAACATGGTAATGCAGATAAACTACTAAAATGTTTGAGAGGGCATATCATTAGCTTATACCCCTATGAAGGTTTTATATGAACCTTTAATCTGAACGGTAAGTAAATTCCAGCATATTATACAATGAATTCCAAATGGCTGTTACATTAAGAGTATTATTTTTAGGAATGAAGAAGTAACAAAAAAGATCACTCCTTAGGTATTTAAGGCTTGGTAATGTGCCATAGTGGTCAGAAAACAGGCATTTTAGTTATGGCTCTTACAGTCATTACCTATGAAATTTGGACACATCACCATCTTCCTGGCTTTCAGAGTCCTCATATTTTAAATGAGGATATAAACACCTTCATTATCCATTCAGAAAATAATTTTTTTAAAAGATGCCCGCCAACAATTTTCAGTCTTAACAGGGAAAGAAATCCTGGCACATGCTATGACAGGATGAACCTTAAGGATATAGTGCTAACTGAAATGAGCACAAACAGACAAATACTACGTGATGCCACGTATATGAAGTAATTGCAGTAGTCAAATTCATAAAGACAAAAAGTGGAACAGTGGTTGCCAGGGGCCAGAAGGAGGAGGGCATGAGGAGTTGTTGTGTGATGGATATAGAGTCTCAGTTTTACAAGATCAAGGGTTCTGGAGATAGAAGGTTGTGATGATTTCAGAACAATGTGAATGTATTTAATACACTAACGTGTACGTTTGAAAATGATTAAGATGTTAAATTTTACATTATATGTATTTTAACACAATAAAAAACTGGGCAAAGGCCTGGCAGAGTGGCCCATGCCTGTAATCCGAGCACTTTGGGAGGTCAAAGCAGGAGGATCACTTGAGCCCAGCTCAAGACCAGCCTGGCCAACACAATGGCTTGCCTAGAAGTCTGAGACCACATGGGAAAGACAGTGAGACCCTGTCCCTATAAAAATTTAAAAATTAGCTAGGTGTAGCAGTACGTGCCCGTAGTCCCATCTACTTGGGACACTGAGGCAAAAGATTAAGCCCAGGAGTATGAGGCTGCAGGGATTATGCCACTGCACTCCAGTCTGGGCAACAGAGTGAGACCCTATATCTTTAAAAAAAAAAAAAAGGAAGGAGGGAAGATGTCTGCCATAGAATTCCACTTATGGAATATTAAGTAATTTATCTGTAATTACTGATATATATTAGGCTGGCTCTAATTTACCACCAGTATAAGAGGCTCCTTTATATATATATATATACACACACACACACACACACACACACACATATATATAAATACTTCTGAGATCTTCTCACAACCTTCTATCTCCAGAACCCTTTATCTTGTAAAACTGAGACTCTATATCCATCACACAACAACTCCTCATGCCCTCCTCCTTCTGGCCCCTGGCAACCACTGTTCTACTTTCTGTCTTTATGAATTTGACTACTGTAATTACTTCATATACGTGGCATCACGTATTTGTCTGTATTTGTTTTTATATATATAAAAATATATAAATATATATATATATATATATAAAAGCATGAATCCAAATTTTTCTTGGGAATAAATTCTCAAAGATGGAATTGATGAATCATAAAGTATGCACAATTACAATTTTGATACATATTACATATGTATAGTCTCATACATTATAGCATGAAATTAGCTTGGCAATTATTATTCAGTTAAGAAAGAAACAACTACTAAATCTTTGTATCTTCAGCTCTGCTCACATCTACTTTACTATGATAGAAACCTAAAACAAGGCTTTGACTGGAAGCCTAGAAATCTACACAGCAATTTTCACCACTGAAATATATATACATCAATATTCCCTCTTTAAACTACAATCTGGATAACTTTACTTTATAAAAATTTCTGCCAACTCCCTTGGAAGAAAAGGAAAAAAGTAGGCTATAAGCCAGGCTACGCTTTCTCTAGCACATTCATACCAAAGATAAAATGAGCATATTCACACATCTCATAGATGTTTATAATGATCAACCACAAACAGACACATTGAGTATAATGAAAAGATCTCAGTTGTAAGATATTACTGGAATTTCTACTTGGGAATTCTGCTCCTGACACTCTGTAAAATGATCTCACACTCCAAATTTTATAGCAACACTCGCTAGTCTACTTTTCACTCTAACAGCTCAATCAGGAAAGGCTGAAAAAGTAGCTGTATAAAATTTACTCCAAGGATTGTACTTTTATTATACCAAGCTGTATCTCAATGAAATGGGAGAATACTATGAACAACAGTAATAAAAATTTGTAAATATCTGACAGAAGCTATGACTTTTCTAAGACACCTGACAAAAACAACAACAGATCACAATAATCTTTCATATATCTTAGATAACTACCAGAAGCTCTTCTGAGGTAGAATATCCAACAAATAAAAAACTAACACAAGTTTCTTGGAATAAGAGAATGCTTTGATCCAGTTTATCTTGATTCCTAAAATAATAGAACTGTGTAGTCTACAGATATTTTTAGAGAACAAAACAGTATTATAAATACATGCAAATGATCACCATCACAAACAATATATCACAGAGAAATCAAGGCACTGCTTACCAAGGTGACCAAAGTCACC